CACCGACTGATGCCGCCACAGCTGCTCTGTTGCCATCTCGACCACTGCGATGGCGCTACTTAGTGTCACAATGAAATCGTGGCTGCTATCACCAAACAGTAGATTTCCCTGCTATTCCGTCACCTCTTGGGTGCAGGGCGAACAATCAGTGGGGGTGCGAATTGCCAATCCGCAGTGCGGTAAGCTCAGCCTGGTTTGGCGGCATTCACGAAAGTAACGTTCTTGGCAGATTCGCATTTTTGAAAATTGCCACATTTTCTTTGTGCTCATAGACTCTCAAAGCCCAACGCCACGCTGCAATGCTGGGTTTCGAACAATATGCACTGGCAAAAACGTACCAAAAACATTTTTTGGGAGCACATACATATGCGCATTTCATCAGTTATCTGCATACTGAAACCACAAAGATAACCCAAACCCGTAAAATTTGTGCACGTTTGAACACGTGTTATTTGGCCCTTGTTTTCCTAGTGACGGTATGGCGCAACATCAAAATGGAGGAGGGGCGATGGAGGGTTGACGGCAGAGCAGTCAGCCACGCACTACCTAGGTGCCACAAAATCAACAGCCGGGAGCTAAGCCAGGAAGAACACACCAAACCACCGCTGGCCGGGTTGCAAGTCTCCTTGGGCGCCGCGGCGGCGTTCTCGATGTATCGCACCACCCATATGGGTGCCGCCAATTGACGAGGATCAACATTTCCCCTGGGCGCCGCATCGATACGATTCTTGATGCCTCCTATGCTCTTCTGCACCGTCGTGTCGCACTATTAAGCAGCGCTTCTCAGCCAAGGAGGCATCGACATGAGGATAGGCGCTAGGGGAAGGCCCCCCCCTGGGGGGGGGGGATATGATTTATGACTGTAATGCCAATTTCGTCTTAAATTCAACACATCTACATTATTACCACCCCTGTTCAGCTGTCAAGTACCAAATATGTGGAGGGGCCAGCGAAGCCGCTTCCAACAGCCCAAAATAATTTCCCTGTGTTTCGAGAATATTTTTGCACCGCGTACCTTGGTCGCCTGGTTAAATTGGGGGCTGAACAACCCACCGTGGCATTGCATCGTTCTGGAGAGCATTTGCATGCCCTCGATGCTACCTTGTTTCAGCAAGGCTTTGACAACACTAGCGGGTCAGCGAGTGTCCCCGGTTTTGGTATTATCTGCGTAAGCACTTTTCTGTTTAATGCTGCTTACGAGTGAAAATGGTTATTACGTTTTACAAGTAAACAGTCATAAAAATGCGCAAAATGGGTTCTCTGTATTTAACGACAGTCCATACCGACTCAGGGAGTCCGGAGAGCGACAGATAGATGCTCTGAAACGTGCAGAAATGACGTTTTCTTCGACGACATCGTTGCCCTTGCCGGCGGCGAGGTGGGCGCTGTGCTGGCAGTGCTGGAAAGGGCGGAGGACTGATCGTTGATTGGGGCATCATCTTGTAATCTAGAAGTATCAACGAGCCGTAAATATTGTAACTTATTGCCGTAAAATGGCCGCTTCTTTACTTACGTGCTTTTGCACGTAAAAGCCCAAACATAAGAATGCAGCCGTAAGCATAAAAGCTAAGCCCGAACATTGTAGTCCACAACATAACGTGGGAATTTTACATCTTCTGGGATGCCAACGATGCGCGTCCCGCTGATGCCTCGCCACCCGTGCAAAGTCGGTCCAGTTGGTGACCCCAATTCCATCCGAGGTGCCGCGCCAGGCCGGGCACAGGCATATGCTGTGAACTGTACAGTTGACGAAGTACAGAGTTTATAGCCACTTTCTCGCAGAAGGGTTCGCCCGCCAACTTCCGGCCGCCCCGGGAGGGGATGCAGGTACTAGCTGCGGGTGGCCCAGACGTTTCATGGGGGAAATGCGATGGCCCTCCAGTGAGGCGATAATGTACTAGCCGGAGGGGGAGGGAAGGCGAGATGCGGAGAGACGGACTCTGGCGGTTGCTGGCGCTGGCGCGAATGCGCTGGCAGGGTGATCCGACGCACCCCACGCGGCCCCGGCGTGGGCTTCTTGCCGTCGTTCGTCTTTAGCAAACGCTGCGCTTCACCGAGAACTACTCGCGTCACATTTGGGGAAGGGCCAGTGGCCGGGCGGGCGCGCAGGCCGCGGGCCCGGCGTCGGAAATTCTGGCGCTGAGGGGACGGCGCCGAGGTGGCGTCACACCCGGGGATCCGCCTGAAACGGGGGTGCCACGTGGGCAGTGCAGCCCCGCCCGGTGTTGATTCAAGCCCAAGCGGGACCCCGTTCGTGTGCGCGCACGGGTCCGAATTGGCCAATGAGTCGCCCATCAGCTTCCTGGCGGCCGGCGTGGGGGGATGCCGACCGGGAAAAGCCCTGGAGTTGTGGATGCGAATGTACTGGCCGTGGCCGGCGGACTCCGGAGCCAGGCCGGCGAGCGGAAGGATCATGCCGACATTCGGTAAGCATTTCCCTGTCTTCAGCGGGAACTCGCCCTGCACCCCGACGAAGGTGCCATGCGCGCCAGCTATAGGCGGTATAAATGGGCAGCGCCGCCGCCCGCAGGCCAGAGCCCAGCCTCGCCCTTCGGCCCCAGCGGAACCACCCCACTGCCGGCTTGCTTCCACCGGTGCGTGCTCAGAGTGGCCGCCATCCTGTGATTGATGCCGCTGCGTGCACGCATATTCTTCCAATATAGTCCGCGGCTCTTTAGTTCTGCAGAGCGGCGGCGGGAGTTGCCTGCCTGGATGCCGCCGGAGCCACCTCGCGCTCACGATGCCCGGGGGCGATCGAATGCGATGGACTCGCGGGCTGCGGGCGGATTCCGGTGTTGGGTGAAATTGAGCGAGTCTTGTCGGTGTTTTGGGCAGCGTCCGTTCCTGACTTGTCAGGCGATCATAGATCATGTAAACTTCACCCGGGCAGAAGTGTAGTGCATGAATGGCCCCCTCCGCGGCCCCAGCCTTCGATGGGCCAGAATGTTTGGCCAGATGGACCCAACCGCAGCCTCGCGCGGATCGACGCAAGCGGCTGAAGTCTTCGCGCAGCGGACATGGTGTCTGTGCGGCAATGCCAACGCTCCGCTTCTGAGCGGCTGCCAGCGTCGGCTGGGGAAGTTCTTTCGATCGACCGATCAATATCCATGAATTCCACGACAGCGGAGTGACCCTTGCGTGTCATGGTCCCAGCAGGTGTCGCCGGCAGTTATGAGGACCGCCGTCCTGATCGCCCTCCTGGCCTTCGCGGTACGTTGGCCGCAGATGGCGGCAGCGCGCATTTTCCTTCCCCTTTCCATTTTCGTGCACGTGTCCCAGCAGGAAACCGCAAGCCGCATCCATCCAGAATCCCCAGGAGTGCCACTGTCGCATATCGGGAATGATTCGGCAGGGATCTCTCCTTTTGATGGGCGGCGCGGCTCCGGCTGCTGCTGACGTGCCATTTTCCTTGCAGGCCGCCGCTGACGCCAGCCGCGTCAATGTCTTCAGGAGCCTCCTGAGCGGTGAGTGGCGTCAGCGCGACCCCCACCAACAGCTTCGAATTCGCGTCTTCGCATTTGGCATTGATGCCAGCATCAATGCCACCGTTAATCCCAGCATCCACGCCACTGATGGGGCGCACTGATTGTCAAGCTGATTGTGGCGAGCCGGCTGACGCCACCAGCCTGTCAATTCGGCTCTTTTGGACCGGTGGGCCCTCGGCCGAAACTATGGCATCATTCGTCGGTATCCATATAGCTATGGTACATATTGCACAGCCGATTTCGCGCTCGCCGGCGGCCATTCTCGAGTTTCAGAGCAGTGCTGGTTTGGGGGTTGCGCACCCAAAATCGAGTTCTGGCGCATTAACTGCGGAAAGCTGTCGCCGGAAGCGAGATGCGGCGTCACGGGGTGGTTGATTGGGCTTGGGGTTGCTTGCGCAGATGAAAAGGAGCCCATGTACTGCAAGGACTACAACGAGCACAGCGACTGCCCGGAGTACTACGAGTGCCTGAAGCTGGACCAACAGTTCTGCAAGAGCGAGCAAGTCTGCCACACGGACGACTACGGCAACAACAACTGCAGATACGAGAACGGTAGGACATCGGTCCGTTCTCCGACTTGAAACTGCACGCGGCTCAGGAGTGCCTCCGGACAATGTCTTCCCTGCTGGCCCCTGTGTCTCTCCCCGTTCGCAGTGGAGGCTCTCGCGTACCCCTGCCTTGTCGCGATGATACTCTGTTGGCTTGCCCAAACATCTTGGGAGAATGTGGTGTTAATTGATTCATCAAAATTCCGCCTGAATCGCCGACAATGTTCATTTTGCGCGTTCCGATACACGCCAGTTCTCACGCATTTGTTTTATCAGGACCTTATGTCGACACGGAAGCAGCGAGAAGGACTACGGCCACGGCTGGGAGTGCATGAAGCTGGACAAGAAGGTATGCACCTACAGGGACGAGTGCAAGCAGGTGCGCACGGACAAGTGCAAAGAGTACGGCTACGAGGACAAGTGCCACTACGTGCAGGGCAAGTGCAAGGCCTACAACCAGAAGAAGCAGTGCAGGGACGAGAATTTCTGCGTGGAGTACAAGCAGGAGAAGAAGTGCAAGGAGAGGAGCGTGTGCAAGGCCTACGAGCAGGTGCACGATTGCAAGCCCAACCACAAGTGCGACTCCTACGACCAGTACGGCAAGTGCACTCGGTACGGTCAGGACTGCCACTACAAGCAGGGCCCCTGCAAGGAGTACAAGACGGAGAAGCACGACTGCAAGTACCACCCCACGGACGTGTGCATCAAGTACGACACGCGCAAGGTGGACTGCAAGTACGTGAACACCGACTGCAAGGAGTACGAGCAGGTGCAGAAGTGCGACAAGGTCAAAGGGGGCTGCAAGGCGTACGAGTACAACAACGACTGCAAGAAAGTGGAGGACGTGTGCTACAAGGGCATATGCGAGAAGAAGAAGTATAAGCCGTCGCCCTCTCCCTACCGCTCGCCGTCGCCCTCTCCCTACCGCTCGCCCTACGGTGGTTAAGTTGGCCACCCGCCGACGGTGGGCATTGCCTGGCGCAGGTCATGGCTCGCAGATTAGCGTGCGTTGGACGGCCCTGTGCGCGTTCGATAAACGTTGAATTTTTGGTAACCGTTCACTGGGGAGGTGAACCATTGTCACAATTCATGGCCGGGGATGACACATACTTTTTCCTAGCTCGGATGCGCCGCCGTGGAATGATTTCGTTTCATAGTTTTCATGTACTTTGATGACGATTTTCTTAATTTCTGGCCCTGATTGGTTGGGCAAGCTCGTGGCACATCTCTTTGTGTCCAGCTCCCACCAGGGCGCAAGGCGAACGCCGTGGCCCCAGCTGCTGATCTGCGAAGCAGTCAACTCCGATTTCAGGCTGCTGCTGCGCACCTTCGACGTCAAATGTTAACACCTTCAGTGATCACCTCCACAATCGCTCTGGTTCCGATGTACGGCCGAGTCCTTGGCCACAGCCTTCTGATGACCAGGATATGCAAATCACAGTCAATTGACATTAACGAATAAAAGTCCCAAGTAAGAAGAATTACCTTAGCCAGACTTCGCATGGCGCTGCACCACAGCAGCCGCGGCTTGGCGCGGGAAAATTAGCATTGTTTACGTGCGTAAATCGTTGTGCGGTCTTGCATATGTTATGTATTAGGATTCGCCACCCCGGCTAGCGCCGCTGAATCTGCATTGTTTTGTATGCGTAAATGGTAGGACGGTCTTTCAAATAGTGTAGTAAGATTCGACGGTAGCCAGCATCTTGAACTTTGAGGGACCCGTCGGCGATGGGAAGCGACCGAGTGACACCACCGACACAACCGCAAATTCTGTGATGCCTTTGCCAGACATGATTGCTCAGGACCTTGCGTCCAACGGTGGGATGGTGTCGACCAAAAGGGTCCCGCTTTGTGAAGAAGGCGCCAACGCATAAGGGACAATTCTGAGATCCCTTGAATGCACGAAGTGCAAACACACAATGAATTCTGGATTCCAGAGTTCCTGGGTCCTACAAGCCAAAGTACTTTCACGATGCAATTGTCCTTTACACTAGCAGAAAAGGACCAAACAACACTTGCGAACACACATAAAACACATTTCATCAAAGTTCTGCACGCTAAGAACAAAAAAATATCCCAAACCCGTGAAATTTGCACACGTTTGAACACGTGTTATTTGACCCTTGTTTTCCCAGTGTTACGTTTTACATATTACAAATTCCTTTTGGAAGCCACTGCCACTCGCGGGGCACGGGCCGTCGCCCACAGTGATTCGTTCCATACATACAACATTCGCTCGCGAGGCGGCGCATGCGCCAGCCAGAGAAGGGGCGCCGCTAAAGAGGGCATATTAGGTCCCTCTCAAGGGCTACCGCTTATGGTAGCTTGCAATTTTTCCATCTGTCTTTTCTGTCTTATCCCTTCTTCTTCCGCTGGCAAGGTCAACTCGGGTCAGTGGGTCAGCGGTTTAGGGCTTGAAATTGTCCGTAACAAGAAGGAATTTTCACGGAAATAGCAGAGGGACTGATATGTCATCGGTGTTGATACTGCTGCGTGAGCAATGCCACTTCAGCGGTCAAAGCCTGTGAGAGTCTTCCGTGGGCATGGCTGTCGCCGCATGGCAAAAAGAAGGCCAAAATAAGCGGCCCACCATTCAAGTCGGTTGGTTCCAGGAGACACCTTTCTGGAAAATTTTAATTGATTCCACTGTACTCGTGCGTCAACGGCGCCGCTGCATGGGCAAATATGTTGCTCGTGAGTGGGGAGAAAACCACGACATAATCCATGCGTTGATTAATGGTAATGGCGCTTTCTGACGCCTTCTTGTTTTGCGATCTTTGAGGTATGCGAAGGCGAGTGGCATCCGCATGACGCAGGAGAGAATCTAGCAGAGCGAAATGTATCCCTCCGTTTCTGTCGATCGTGCGCTTGGTTGTTTTCGATTCCGTGACATCGGAACTCATTGTCCGCGTGCGGCTCAGCTTGCCGTATTTCATTCAACATTTGCGCAAACGACGCGACGCTCAAACCTTTTCGCAGAACCGCAAATTAAAATGACGCCCCTTCGGAGCCATGCTGAGCAGAAGCAATAGGCTGTGAATTTCTCATACCACTAGGAAAAAAAGGGCCAAATAAACACGTGTTCAAACGTGTACAAAGTTTTCGGGTTTGTGTTACTCTTGTTTTCTCAGCGTGTAGAACTTTGATGAAATCTGTTTTATGTGTGTTCGCAAAAGTGTTATTTGGCCCTTTTTTTTCTAGTGTACGTGGCTGGTTGCTTCCTCGGCTGGCAGTTACGATCACTGCGGGATCCTCTCCATCACTCCCATAGCCACTCTGCATGCATCGCTGCGGACTGTTCGTTGGTTGCGCATCCAGCCTCCAATTGGTTTCGTCTATCAAGCCCTTCGCCTGGAATCCGACGCAAGCATACCTGGATGTACTTGCGTCGCCTGGGCCGCCCAGCCTCTTTCCGATGTGTCCTCAGGTCATGCTGCACAGGTAGTGTTTGCAGTTATTGCTTATTCAGCACACCGTGGCTTTCTGGCGCCATCGAACGCCAATTATTGTGCGCGAGCAACCGGGGCGCCTTTGAGGGGGTTCAGAAGGCCACATTCGCGTTCTGTCGGCAGGAGGTATGCGGAATGCACGCAAAGCTTGAGGTGCCCTGTTTCAGCACTGCGCGGAAGAATGCACTACGTGAAAAGAGAGGCGCAATTTTTCAAAATGCGCAAATGCTGCAGGAGTTACTGCAGCACGAAATACTCAAACCTTCCCTATCAGAAGCTATCACCATTACTATTTTTCCTCCGCATTTTTTGGACAGACCTTTACTGCGCGTGCTCTGCATCATGGCAACCGCCGGAATGGAGATTCAACTAATTTCGCACGGGCTCAAAAATCGTTGTACTGTCACAGCGACTCATGTATCTGGAGGTAATAGTTCCCGCGAGCAAAGACCCTCCAGTTCAGAGACCCTCGCGTTGTGGCTGGGGCTGCTCTGCGGATTGCTGGCACCGATAATTTTTTTATTGGGGCATATTTAACAGTGGGTGCTATTGTCACGGCGGTGATTTTCAGCTATCTGAATAACACCGCATGTCAAAAACCCATCGCTGGCGGCTGGGGAGCAATAGCACCCCAATAGCACCGCCGATGGTATTCGGCGCTGAGCGGTGCTGTTCTGAGCCAGAACAGCACCGCTCGAGGCCAAATAGCGCCCCAGAGTAGCACCTGGTGCTATTCGCGCAGAACATTGTAGTGTTGCCGCGATGCTATTTTGCGTAGGAATAGCACCCACCATTGGGCGTGCGCGCAGCAAACAATAGCACCTATGCTATTCGGCCAGCGCCGCTCTAGTAAGGTGGCACGGCAGCCAATTAGAACAGTTCCTGGATAGCTCCGCCTGTGCAATAGCACCAACCGATAAAGATGCTCCAACGGTTGGGGAGCGGTAGCGCCCAGATGCTATTTGGCGCTGAGCGCTGCTATTCTGGTCCCGAATAGCACCGCTCCAGGCCAAACAGCACACCAGAATGGCACCTGGTGCTATTCGCACAGAACATTGTAGTGCGCCCTGATGCTATTCGGCATAGCAATAGCACCGGGTGCCATTCGGCCAGCGCCGCTTTAATTGGTGGCATGGCAGCTGATGTAACCGTTACTGTATAGCACCGCCGGTGCAATAGATCCGACCGGTCAAACGTTACGTTACTATGCGGCAGGGTCGAATAGTTCGGGGTTTTTTCCCTCGAATCTCTAAGCTTATTTCGCGTGTCCCAAGTGCCCACGTGCAACACGGTACATTTGCAAGAAACTGGTGGAAGGGCTCGGGAAGAAAGGCCATCCCAACCCTGGAATCCCACCCTTTGAAATGTCGGGCAAGTCGGGCTAAGGGCCGTTTCAGCGGAGGACTGAAAGTTTGCGAGGCCCGCACTGGGTCCGGTGGCTTTCAGCGATCAGCACAGAGCGACTGGGCGAACTCCGGGTCCTTGACCGGGCTAGTTGGCACGTGTGTCCACCTTGAAAACGAGACAGACCCAGCCGCATACTTTCTTTCTCCGCGGCAGTTTGCTCACCCCCTCGATGTAACGTCCTGTGCCACATCAGCGGGACCGAAACGAGGAACGCGAGGTGGGGAGCCGATCTCGAGACGTTCTGCTGATTGACTTCTCTGCAGATGTGCAAGGTCGACTTGCAAGGCGAAGGTCAGGTAAACTTGCAGGTCGACGCTGAGAACAACTTGCAAGTCAACTTTGGGGCCGGGCTCTTCTTCCACTTTACGAGAACCACTTCCCGTCCTCATCCACCAGACTTTGGATGCCGTTGGCTAAGTCGCTGCAATGGGTTGCACAACATGGTGAGCCGCTGTTGACTGCTACGCTGCTCGGTTCCGCTGGTCAAGCGGTGCGCACCGGTGAAAGAATCTATTTGTCCCTGGCACCCCGCGTGCCATTCTCACGCTGACAATGCAGGCTATCCCGTGTTTTATGACTGTTGCGTTGCCAAAGAGGGGATACTTGTGTCGTTGGTTGGGACGGGTGGGTGTGAATTAAAGGAGTGATGTAAAGGAACTGACCTCTCTCCAATAATGGTACATCCCAGCATGGCCCCGAGCTCGCTGGTGTGACTCAGGCAACGACGGACCCGGCGGAGGGGCCTTGTCTTTATTAGGCCAACAAGGGGCCTCCTGGGCTGTGTTGAGGTGATTTTGGTGAGGGTTGGGTTCCAGGTCTTCCAGTCCAGACCAGCCAACTTGCGATACCTGTTTTGCGCCTCGCTTGTGCTGGCCACCAAAAAGCAAGGACATTGGCTTCAGCCCACCAATACCCACATTTGCTCCTTTGTCTGGCGACAAAAGAGTCTGGACAATTGCCGATGGTGCAATGAGCAATTGATCTGGTTTTCTGTCAAATCAGCATGCGAAGGTCGTTGTTTGTTCCCGTGGAATCCTATTGACAAAGCATGCATTGGCCAGAAACTTAAATGCAGAAGTAAATGCCCGAT